GGCTGTCGATGCTCGGGAAATATAAAAGCTTCACATTCACCAGTGAGGGCAAAGAAAAACTGCTTATAAAAATATTGATCAAATGCATTTACTGACAACGGGAGCAGAAGTTACCATAGAAACAGGATGCCAAAGTGGACATAACTACACAAATACTGAGAGTTCTGAGGGTGCTGGGGTTTAGTAACAACTCACATCAGTGAAGCTACTGAAGAACAGATCATGATTGAATCATGGTTGAGATATAACCAGGATATGGGTGATTTTCTGATGATGTACGGTATATTTTAGAAGATAATGTAAAAGAGAGTGTTGTCTTTGCAATCGCAGAGTACTGCTAGTACATCAGATGTATTCTCAGACACAAAATGTACTAACTTGTAAATGATTCTTTCCAAATCCTTGTATCAGTTGTTACCAAACACTGCTGAGGTACGACAATGGGTCGTAACACGTCATCAAATGTCCATGGCTATAAAAACGAACAACAGAGCAACTCAGAGCTGTCAAAGAATCCTCATGTTTGCCTTTCTTCAATTTCTGCGAGTGTTAGCAACGGGCCCGGGTTTAGAGTAAATTGTGAGTAAATATGTGACATTGTTAAGTGGTGTAGTTGGTATTTTTCTAATCTGTAACATGTGCTCAGAATATCCTGGAAAACACTGCCTTAAAATGTACAGGTGAAGTTTCACAGACTCAAATCTCAACATTCATAAAGTTATTCATGAGGTGGTTCTAATAAGCATCGACTGGATGTAAGGACACCTTGTTCTAAGTCCACTTGACTTAGTGCACTGCTACAGTACATATATTCCATATTCATCAGGCAGCCATTGCCAAACACATCGCAGCTTGTCCCCTGGGAAAGTTAAGACTTTTAAAAAACTCCAGAAAAACCTGAGCTAACATTCGTTAAGCTCTTCACAGACTCGACTTCCTTGAACTTTCCTGAAAGCTAAAAAAAAAGATTGTTCCACAGCAAGAAACAGCAGTTGAGGGAACATAACGTCGGATTAAAATGTGAACACTTTTAAACTAAAAATGAAAAGCAGAAATCTTGATTTAAGTTTGTTTTCAAGTTTCTTACTGTATAACGTGCCAAAATGCACACAATCTCCCCCAACAGGCCTCATAAAACATTAATTTCACGCTGCAAGCCGGCTCACTTTTATCAGTTCTACTTTGATGCTTCAACCTCCAACACCTGAAACTAACTGCAAAATCTGTCACCAAGGTTGCCGTGCCCTTGTCTTTCTTTTTTTTTCGGCATGTGCCTCACACCTGCGATTGGTGTGCAGGCGGCTGCGGCTTTGTGTGGCTGAGCAAAACAGCTGTCTTAGGTAGAGGTCATTCGTCTGTGAAGTTCACTGCAGAAGGCAGCTCCTTATAAGATGACAAAATGGCCGTGAGTCTGACAAATGAGCGGGCGGCTGAGTAGCCAATACGTGTTGGAGCAGCATGAGTGAGGTTTTATTAGTGGGATGGATGGCGTGGGAGCCTGAGTGCATGCAGTCTCATTGCAGTTGAGAGGTTAGAGAGGCTGAGTCGCCAAAAGTTTGAACGCACAGAGAGGCAGGAGAGGTCATTAATGTGAGGACTGCAGCTGGGTACCTGAGTATATCTCCCTGCTCTTCAATTTCATCAGCAACCTCTTCACACCTGCAACAATGTGAAGAAGGCCGTCATCATCACAAGTTCGCAGCAAGAGTTCCCAAACCCTTCCCCTTCCCCTTCGAATGAATCAGGTGATTTTTCAATCAGGGTAATTTGCAGGAGAACATTGTTTTCAAGCTACAGACACAGACAAGAGTTCATTGAGAAATAACATTTACAGAAAATTCAGGTTAGAAAAAATGGGTTTAAGTGGGAAATAAAGTGTTTTTAACATACAGCACCAACAGACACAGACAAGAGTTCATTGAGAAAAAACATTTACAAAATATTCAGGTTAGAAAACATGGGTTTAAGTGGAAAATAAAGTGTTTTTAACATACAGTTCCAGTGTTTAAAGGTCACCAAATAGGGTCAGTACAAAAAAGCTCAAATTTGGTCCAACATTAGTTTTTATATTTGGCCTAGTTATGTGCTAAGATAGCCTGGCAGTTACATCACTGATATCCATTACAATTGTTATGCAACAAGAAGAAGTTATTTTATTTGTACAGTTTAATATCTGTGTATTCATCACTACTTTCAAACAATGTTTATCTTTGAGAAACTTACGTCCTTGTCTTCTATCCTAACAGTGACGTTTACTAACAGCAGCTTCCTATGTAAAAGTGGTAAATCTATATGATTATATATTATATAATCATATAGATTTACAATATATTTTCAATGTCATCTTCTCTTAGTCATCAACTTGTATTAGCAAACAGCTAACATTTAGACAGCAAGTATTGCCAATTTAGAATTTACAAAAACAACAATGCTTGTAAACCTGTGCAAAAGTTTTAGGCTGCTGTTGTACACATTACATTACATTAGATTATAATACATGATAACAAATATAATAATATAATGCATTTATCATCATGGACCGTCTTTTGTTTTTTTTTTTTTTTTTTTTTTGTAGTAGTAGATTGGTATTGGAATGTGAGTTTAAAACTGGTGCTTGTTTCGATCGGCCAGAGTTTAGAAACAACAAGGACATGAAGAATAATGTGATTCGGTGTCAGACCAAATATGTCGTCTTTTCACTGACAGTACTTAGTGACGACGTTATGGAGATGTTAGCACACACACACAAGAGGGGGGTTGGGGGGGGGGGAGGAGCAAATATCTGATTCTTACCTGTGTTCCTGTCTGGTAAGATGCAGCAATGCTTCTGCAGTATGCTTGGCAGCACCTTCCAACAGACGTTAAAAGGGTGGGTAAGGCAGGGGTGAGGGGTGAGGGGTGAGGGGTGAGAAGGGAGATGAGAAGTTAATATCATAGAGGCTGCAGATAAACAGAGTGGAGAAGCACAGACATTTATTGCATCAAAATAAGACTCTGCCATATTTATCTACGACCTTCCTTTTCACTCTGATCTGAGCAGCAGAGCATTAAATGAGTGATGGTTCTGCATTAGTTGTTTTGCTGGTGAAGGATTCATTCCTGAATTTATATCTGACTCAACATTTCAACAATATATAGAGAGACCTTAATGGCGTGGAAAAAAGATATACGTTCTGAATAAAAAAAACAAACAAACAACTCACAGTATTTTGTTTTTCCAAAATCTAGAACAGATTGTCAAAAAAAAGTACATGAAATAAGATATAATGTGATATAAACTCACAATTTACTCAATCTGAAACATTGGCCTATTTCGTGGAACACAACAGCAGTTGATAAACCCACAGGAATTGAAGGAAGACAAACACAAAGATCTTCTTCAACAGCCCTGAATCCCTATTATTTTTTTAATTTTACAGCCATCTGCTGCCACAAAGTGGAATTGTTTAATTTAATTTATTTAATCTTTCTGCCTGTCACTGTGGCAGAGACAAACAAAGACACATTATAAAGTAAATAAACAATAGTTTTCGGGTCAATTAGGTATAAATTTATGGGTTTTTTTTTTTATGGCTGAATAGTGAATCACTGTAGTAAACACACAATAACCAGGACAACTACACTAATTACACTAAAACATAAAGTCAGAACAGACGGTTGGATGAGAGTGGGTTACATTTCTGAACTAAGGACACTGAATGTTGAAAGTTTTAGGTGTCAAGTACTTTTCCTTAGAGCATATTTGCAAAAACCTGGTAATCTTACTGTCGTTGTATTTATTTATCCCTCACCCGGGGCTTAATTGGTTTTCACAGGGGGAGCTGGATCCATCCCAGCAGTTATAAAGAGAGGATGGAGCCATGACAGGGCCCCATACAGATACAAACAACTAGTCACATTCATACAGACAGAACCCAGAGTACCAGGATAAAAACCACACACACACACACTGAGAGACAACAAGCAAATCCATACAGAAAGTCAATCAGTTACCACAAGGAATCAAACCAGTGACCATCCTGCTGTAAGGCAAGGAGACTCGCCATCATTCCTACTTGTTGCTTTTGACTATTTCCAAAAAAAAAATATGTTTCACTGCCTTGCAGTGACACTTGACTGATGTTCCAAAGACACAAATGGAGAACCGTGGGTGGCTTGGCCATTTCTTTGTCCTTGCTACTGCTATCATCAATCTGTAGATAAATAAAGCCAATTTTATCTGACTTTGTCAAGGGGTCAAGGAAAGCTACTGGCTGGAACGTAGCTCATTCAGAACTACTTTATTTGTCATTTCTTATGTAATTATTCTTTGTGGCTTTAGTTTAACCCAGTGTTTCCCTACTTGTTTTGAGCAAGGCACATCATTCACATTACAAACGTCCAGAGGTGGGACCAAGTCA